GATCCGGTGAAATAATTTTCCCCTAGAAAACACCCTTTTTTTCTCCACTTAAGGTGAGAATGCTACCATGAACCCTTGAACACACTTAACCCAATTCGGATCACGTAGGCATTATATTGTAAGCACGTTCAATGATGATCTAATACGATATTCAGACCAACTGAATAAATATTTACAAAATTGGTTTTCAAAGACCCATCTTAGTACGTATAGGGGGATGGTGATGCATAAGGAAGCTAATAAGTCCTATGAAAATTGGGACTGCTATAAAACACGTAAGAAGCAGTGGTGACACCACCGACCCAACTTAGTAAATATTTACCAAGATAGAATCATTGCGGAATTTCTATCTGTATTCATAATTACCAAGTTAGTGTTACAACGGGATTTTCGAATTTGTATTCAATTAGGACTTTTTTTAAAAGATTTAGTAGGATTATAATAAGGAGTGTTTTATTAGATTAAGAAACTTCTTTGTATGAGGCATAAGGGTGTAAAGAAGTCTATATCAAGAGTAGATAGGGGAGTTTTTTGTTGATTTTCTCTTAAGTATTCAATGAAGAGTTGTTCTTCTTGTTTATTTTGGCTTTGGTCCTCTTCAAAGCTTCTCTGAATGTGATTTATTTTTCGAACTACACCATTTGGTATTAGAGCACAAGTTTGATCATTCTTTGGATTATAGCTCTTAAGAAGAAACTAGTGGCTCACACCGTGGACCAAAAACTCAACAACAAAACACAAAAAGATGTGGTGGAGTTGAGAAGACAAGTCAATGCACTTGCTCAAGAGTTGAGATCGCTATATTCTCATTCCAAAATAGGGAACAACGGCTCCAATGCAAGTGCCTCCACTTGTTCCTTTTCATCACCAAGGCAAGCATTTAGGTCGGCTGCAATTGCGGGTGGGGACCGGAAACAATGGAAAATGGGTTTCAATATTGAGATCCCAAAATTTTATAAAGGTTTCTCTACTCAACAAGCAACCAAAGTGGTTGTAGTTATGAGTAGTGAATAGAAGCAATGGGAAACTGATCTCAAGTTTGAGTTCTCTAAGTTTAGCTCTAAATAAATTCATGGAATGGAGTTCCATGGGGGAGTTATCAAGTTTAGAGTTTAAAGGTAAAATCAAATCTTATGACTTTATTGATTGCTTTGATATTGTTGATGATTGCAACGAAAATGTGTGGCCATTCTCCTCAACAATATCTATTGAAGAGAAACTTGTTGATTAGAACAAACCTCAAATCTTTGATGAAAAGCCAATTGCTGAGGAATCTTCCATCATTCATAGTGAATTTCAAAATGATGGGGACAATATTGATCATCTTGGGGGTTATGATCACATTGTTTTCATGCATGTCTATGAAGATCCTGATTGACAAACAATTTTGCAATGTTAAGAATAGTTATTAAAAAAAAAAAATACATCTTATGTGAAGTGCAAGGTATATATTTCAAAATATAAGATATATGGTGAAAATATTTCAATTTGTATTGGAGGTTTACATCACCAATTATCTATTAGAGGGTTAGAAACGAAGAAACATAGCAAAAGTGCAACGATATATTCTAGCAGCCTCTCAAATGGTAGCATGAATCCGATGTCGGATTCTCTCCAACTCGGGGAGGATGATACAATATGGGATTCGGACAAATAGAATAAATATTTACAAAGTTGATTTCTAAAACCCATCTTAGTACATATAGGGGGAAGATGATGCAAAATGATGCTAATAAGTTTTATACAAGTTGGAACCACTACAAGACAAGTAAAAAGTAGGGATGACGCCACCGAACCAACTTAGTAAATATTTACCGAGATAGCATCATCACAGAATTTCTATCTTAGTTCGCGTTTATTAAGCTGGCGTCAATTTCTATCTTAATTTGTAATTACCAAGTTAGCGTTACAGTGAGATTTTTGAATTTGTATTAAATTAGAACTTTTTTTAAGAGATTTAGTAAGATTATAATAAGGAGTGTTTTATTAACTTAAGAAACTTCTTTGTAGGAGGCATAAGGGTGTAAAGAATTTTATATAAAGAGTAGATAGGGGAAATTTTTTGTTGATTTTCTCTTAAGTATTCAGTGAAAAGTTGTTCTTACTGTTTATTTTGGGTTTGATTCTTTTCTTTGAAGCTTCTCTGAACATGATTTATTTTCCAAACTACACCAAATGAGCACTTAGAAAATCACCTGGAATAAACCCATTTCTTGTTGCCCAAAAAAGAATGTAATTGAATTGGTTTTAAGTTGTTGAAAAGTTGAATCACTCCAATGTTTTATTGTGTATCAAAAAATCAATGGCCAATGCTTCAGTTTTAGGTGTTGAACCAAAGCTATAAAATGCAAGAAAAAACACAATAAATCTATTTCATTTCTAGTGGAAACCCAAACATGTTACCAAGGGATGAGTAGGATGCAATCTTCCCAAAGTGCTAGGAGGTTTATTGGGTAAATTAATGCTGCAGGAACAAGAATTTTGCCATCTGCAAAAATTTTGGTATTGAATTCTGTCATCTGTTGTAGAGGAAGAATTTACATTGAATGGCATACGCTCACGGGATCCCCAAAAAATTAACAGATGCTGAAGCCAGACCTATCCTAGTTGCACCCAGAGTGTCAGTCTTATCAAATGAATCAATGACAAGCAAAGGACAATCCTGAGTTCTCTTCTCAGATGCATCTCATAACGACCCAATGAAAACTACCAGCAGACAATCCTGGGTATCGGACTGGCTCTTGGGGTTCCACTTGATATTGCTTTTCTAGGGTTCTAGCATGTTTTTTGTGGACTGCACCGTTTCTGTAGTACGTACGTTGAGACTGCAACTAGCAAAGCTGCTTACTAGCAATCCTATTCCTATCCCTATAGAAGAAGATAGTGATGGTAAACATCGAGTTTAATCACCTCTTGAAAACTTCAATCCTAGCTAGCTACATTCATGGCGGGACCCGTGAAACGACACTAAAAGACAAAGTGGAACATGTCTTTTCTTGGGTCCCATCTTATCTGTGTTGAGCGAATAAACCCAAGAATAGCTATTTTACTAGCGAGTTATAATAACTGGGGCCGACTGATAACGGCTGAACTGGGTGACTGAATAATTTTTTACTTGCACCTAAAGACAAAGAATTATTAAGTCATTCAGTTTAACTTCAGCTATTATCAAACAATACGCCCTTAATCTAATCTAGTACAGAGCAAAAGGAAATCAAGAGATTGGCAATGCTACATTACCAATGCTTTCAGAAACTATGGCAATATAAAGGCAGGCTCTCCCACAACAGAGGGAAGGGAGTTACATTAATTTGAACGAGGAAAGCCCAACTGTTTAATTTACTCTTTATGTGTTCCATGGAACGACCTTGGTATCTCATCAGCGACATCCAGTGGTGACCCCAGAGATTTTCTTCCCTCCTTTGCATGGCAACATTTTATCTCAATTAAATAATATATAATGAGCTCCATGGAATGGACCATATATATGGTTTCTCAAACAATGGAGCGTACGTAATTAATTCTCTCTAGTTCATCTACTGGATTTGTCGGAGGGCATATGATCACTCGGGTATCAATATTTGTGACCGACGACCATTAATAAAATTCTTCAACAAAGATCGATCCAGTGCTTAAAACATGACTTTGGTCCTAAGTCTCCATTTATTGGTTACGTACGTAGGAATTGCAGAGAAGAGAAATGATTCTTTCTAATCTTAGCTTCATGATATGAGTGTTTCCTGAAAATGGATGGCCATGCCTTTTGATTCAGATCTTCATGACATCTGCATGTGTCTCAACCATCTAAGTATATATACTTTCCAAATTACACCAAAATACCAGCAACCAAKKCAAAAAATAAAAAATAAAAACTCTAATGGTCTACTCTCATTAATTGTAGGTGTTCACATGGCATAACTGTAAAGCCTCTGATCGCTTAGAAAAATCATTTATTGAATATTGCCACTTTGAAAGTTGGCCTTTCGATTGAGGACAACCTTCAATGGATAGAAAGCGCATGTGTCGTTCTCTTCCTACAGCTATGCAGCTCAGGAACTGCTTAAATGGATCCCAGCAGGCAGCAGCGCTGAGGGAAATCCTTTGGTAGTCAGTTTAAAGCAGCAGTCTTTTATCTCTGTATAAACTTCATCTGGTTGTGTAGTCAATTGCACTTGCCTGTACGGTTGTTAGAGGAGATCCAGTGATTTTTTTTTTTTAATTTTTTTTGGTAAAAGAGCTCCAGTGATAGATGTGAACGAAAGCCTTCAAAATTAACTTTATTCTTTGCAATGGCCATGCATCCTTGGAAGTTGGAAAAGCAATATTTCAGATATCCATTGGTAAAATAGATGCAAGCTTTGATCATGAAGGTCGCTGCTTCCCTGGTTCTAAGATTGTCTCCTCTTGTCTTAAAAGTTGTCCATTTGATTTTCCTACTTGTCCGTTGCCATTTCTCCTCTCATTTTACCACCCTACCAGCCACCAAGTCCAGGTGGTTTAAAATTTTAATTAAATCTCAGTATTGGTTTGATAATGGTGATGGTTAATTAGTTGTCATAATCTCCATTAACTGTTATTTATCGTACCATTCAAGAATTACACACTGAACTCAACCTCTCAGACTCTTCTTAATCCCAACTTCTCAAGAAATTGTATAATTCTGATAATGTTCTGTCATTTTGTTCTCAAATAGAATACCAAATAAATTCTGATAATAAATTAAGGAACTAATTCAATGATATAAGGAACTTTACATGGGTAACGAAGCCTTTCTTTTTTGGTGTACATTTGATAATCATCAGATGAGCAAATTACAGGGGGGGAACACAAATAGACTATTTACAATAAAAACAAAAGTTCAATAACCAAGGGTCAGCTCGATTGGACAGAGCATCAAGGAAAATTTGTTGCCCTTGCTTCCTGTGGTACAATGGATCATATATGGAGAGAGAGAGAGAGAGAAGACATATTCATCTCTTCGTCAGCAGTTAGAGAACCGGTTAGCTAGGGGTAGATTGTTCTAGTTTTTGAACCTTTAAACAGAGATGAGCTTTCACTGGTTTATGATCTGAACTATGGATGTTGTCCATTGACTCATAAGAGTGTAAAGATGCATCAACGTTTCCAAACTCCTCTATCTTGAACAAGATCCTATCAGTCCAAGAAGGTACTCGTACCTGAGAAAAAAGAAAACTTACAATAACTCAAAAGGGAATTTACATTAAAAAAAAGTGAAGAGTATATAAGAATCTTGAAGAACATGATATTGATACCTTGTAACTTGTATCATAGTTGTTAGTTCCGATATTATATTTATAAGTTGGCTTGAATGCCAGGGTCCCCTCGCTGTATCCATTGAATATTTGTCCCCTTTCAGCCTCTTGTAGCAGTTGATCTTTGCTAGTAAGCATCTGTATTTGTTACAGAAAAATGCAACAATAGTCTCATCAATTAATTTTCAATATAAAATCAATGTTTGTAAAATTAGTAACCGAGATTAATGTAGAGCACATTACAAATGGTTGCACTGATGTAGAAACTATCCTGTATTTATGTATTTATGTACAGATTTTGTGACATGAGGTCTCCGCCGCCTATGAGTAGGTAGGATAACTTTTGTACAGAAGAAAAGAGATAACATAAACACAGTTTCAACTGTTCATATCTGCTCAAAACTAAAATGTTTTAACAAGATTTAATTTTTTTCTCTATTGTTGTTATTGGATTTAAACTTGAATGGTTTCAAATGAATCTAACTGTTATCTTTCACCATTTTACTATAATGGCTGCATGGAATACATATTTTTTTATTTTCTTGTTGGAATAAATGTCTACGGCAGAGTTTTTATTTATCAGGATGGAGGTTTGCAATGGTTGCATCCTCCAAAATAGCAGTAACAACACAAGCATGAGATTAAGTAAACCAGGATTGATTTAGAGACATTGTTTCTGCTTCTCTTGCTAGAGGATGAGTTACACGAGTAGTAATTTTGGAGAGTATTTTGCATCCTCCAAAATAGCAGTAACAACACAAGCATGAGATTAAGTTTTGGAGGTTTCTGCTGTCACCTGAACCGGCCGGTGACATAGGTTCAACTACTGTGACTTGGGGGTTGAATCCTAATTGACAAGTATAGTACATGATATCTTTCTATTATGGAGTATATGTTAATTGAAATTCTTTGAGATATCCAGACAATATGTCTTATGGGTTATTAAAAGCCATAGGTTATATCTCATAGACCTTTCAATTACTTCTCAAAAGGAGGCTTTTCTGGGTCAATCAGAACAGCCAAACCTCTATGCAATATGAAGTGTGATTATTACCAAGTGGGTTTGTCTAAGAATCATTAATGGTGGTAGATTTTAGATTTTTCATTGTATTTTTTTTCCTATTGGATTCTGTAAAAGTTATATGAAAGATGATATGTAACACAAGTTACAAGTGCATTATTTTCCTCTGATATGTAAAGCCATATTGAGGGATGAGTTTTGGGAGAACAGAAGAGAATGGGTTCCTGATAAGTCTTCATTGTTGTTTAACTCAATCTGTATCCATAAGATGCTCTTTCTGGACCTAAACTGAACACAAAGTGAGAGGGTTTTGGTGTCCCAAATGGAGGTCTAAATTTTCCCGCCAAGTACACCGGCAATAGCATTTAGGTTGGCTACAAGAAAGAGGAGGAATAACTAAAGCGTCCTTTTACCAATACTCAATACAAATTTGTCATAACATATCAGAATGTGTCTATATGGTAAATATTATCTGCCGTTAGTTTGGACTTCGTATTTAAAACTAGAAAAAGATGCCAATTGATCCATTAACAATAAAGCAAAAGTATGGCATATGAACTTACACCATGAAGATTCTTTTTTATCAATCTTTTTGCTGGAAGCATGTCAATCCCATGTATTCTGTAGTTGAGATCCCCCAGCCACACTGTAATGTGAGATGGTCTTGCATAAGGATTCTGATTCTTGGAGAAGAGGGAGTGTGATATGTGCCTGAACTGAGAATTCCTCACCTCCACATTATGTGCATGAGCTGCATACACATACAATACATGGTGTCACTGCAACAAAAATGCTACTTAAAAGGAAAATTTTCCATACAATTGAAGACTCTGGTGCTTAATGCATGGCATCACTTCTCAGTGTTCCTACATGTTAGAGGGATTGAATCCTAGCTCAAAAATCACAATCACCAAAAGAAAAGGGGGGTACTGATGGTCTATGTCAATAATTAAGTGCATTGATTGAGTGTTTAGGATGCACTGATGAAGACAGGAGAGGAATCAACAGTCCTCTGGCTGTAGTGTGTTGATTGGACTGTTAGCATGGTCTGTAGGATATACAGAGCAATAAGGGTTACAATATGGGCCAGACCAAAGGCAAGCTCAATCTCAGCACTTCCTAATCATGGTTTTGGGCTGGCTCCATTGCAACATTACAATATATAAACATTGCAGAGTTTACAGCAGTGGCACTTCCTACTCCTAGCATTTGGGCTTATATTGGACAAACAAGCACATGCAGGTGGAAATGGTGAAAGAGAATTTTGCCAAAAAAAATGTATGGGCCGGACACACAAGGTGGAGATGGTGAAAGAGAATTCACATATGGGGCCATTAATGAAGAAAGCTAGGTAGTTTCTGGTAGTTTGATTCATTTGAAGCAGACCCAGTTCAGGGCAGATATATACCAGCAACTTTGTAAAACATCCGTTGGACTGGCTTGGGACTTTGTCGCCATCATTGGTCGAGCACAAATTGGGCCAAGTGCCAAAATTTTGCCGGCCGTCGCTATTGACGGCCCTATTAAGTAAGCCATAATTCATTAAATATGTTCTAATTTGTTCAAACAACAACAGAACTCAATGAAGGGAAATACAAATTAAAGCAGACCTGAAAGATGGCAGGATATGAAAACCATGCGGATTCCTTTGTAGCTCAAACTGACTGCTACTGCCCCCTTCTTTCGCCTGATCAATCCTCCAAATCCCCCAAGAGCATGCTTATCAACCTTTATGCCTACATCTTGAAACAAAAACAAAAGAAACAAATGTAAGTCTCAAGATTTGGATCAAAATGGACGGAGATTGTGGAAACGCAACTCACCATTGATGAAGTGCTCGGAATTCTTAGGCCCAAACACAAATAGTTGCAGAGATTGCATAATGGCTTTTCCTAGAATACTTTATGGTTTCATGAGATAATAACAATTAACAACAGTTGGTAACAGTAGGGACAAGAACCAAACAATATTATATATAGCCTAATCAACCTGACGAAGTTGAGAGAGATCTGCGAGGAAACAAGTATATAAAGGTGGTCTGGTATACCTGTGTGTTTCAGCCAAAGTTTCTTGCAGTAATTGAGCAACATTGCATCGTGGTACTTCTTGCAGGCCAACCACAAGAAGATCAAACTTCCTGTTATCACCCACGAGCTCTGCTAAATCCTCGTCGGAGACCTTCGTCACACAAGAACATCAAAATAAGCACCACCAATTCTCACTAGCTAAGAGCAGATAGTACTACTGTCTTATCTTCTTTAAGAAAATTAAGAGAAAAAAAAAGGAAAAGTGATGAAATAAAAACTAGCCGAAATAATTCTTGCTTATTCGTCTCTGAAGACATGAAATCTATTTGCACCTTCCCGTTCATGTTCCAAGTCACTATGCTCATGCAAAGAACTGAATTACCCGAGAAGTCGCAAAGCTGCTCTACCCCAACTGTCTTTATTCCTCCATGCATTGCAACTTGGGTGGTGTCCATGGCCTCGTCTACTCTTTCCTTCACCACGGAACGTCCTCTGCACAGTCAAAAGAACCTTCATACTATCACCTCCATGATTCTACTACTAATTATAGAAGCAACATAATTACTGGTTGATGCGGTTGGTCAGTGCATTCTGCATTTTAATTAAGTTTTCAACAACTGATTATTTGTATTAATAAAATAACTAGAGATGGAAGAGGATTAAATAAACAAACAAAACCCATTTAAAAATTAGAAAAAGAAAGAAGAAATTGATTAAAAATACCTTCTACCACCATCACCAACAACAGTGCTCATGTTTCCCATTTTGCTATCGATCTTATTATTGTTTATCTTGTTTACGATATCAGCAGCTCCTTTATCTGTCTAAACGGAAACCGACTAATGTCAGGGGAAGACTAGACCAATCTCTTTAAGCTTACAAGGAAACCAAAGCAGACTTGAGAATGATTTAAATTAACGTGTATCTTTTGACGGGTGTCACCAATGGCTGCGCTTTGAAATCTTTTTGGTTGCCCTCATCTCCCTCCTTTGGGTGTTACGTGTAGGGTTAAAACCGTGGCCAACAGCGCTCTGACGTGCTACCCTTTTGAACAGTCGTCAAACTTCCACGTGTCAACTGCTACAAAGCCGGCGACTGTAACCATGCAAGAGTCAAAATGCCACGTCAGGAGTGGGGAAACTTGTGCATTTTGGCGGTGAAGCAACCCCAAGGAAAAGTCAACCCACAAAAGAGGCCTATTTCTAATTTCTGTTAGTGTTAGGTTTGAACATTGACACGGGACAAAGGATTTTGGATCGATGTTGAAAATTACCACCTCATCCATAACCATTAACTTCGCCATCGACTCCATGGATGGATGACTTGCTTTACGAGGCTTGATGAATATGAGTGAGATAGAAAGAGAAAGAGGTGCATTGTCTTAGATACAAGTAGTTCGCTCAAATATGCAATTACTAGAATTTGTTAACTTTTAATTTTGATTTGAGTCGGGCTTTAGAAGTTGAGTGAAAATCTTATTTATCCCAGTACAGCTCGTTTGTCTCAGAAACACTTTCGGATGAAATCCGATCCACTGATACTTTCATGTAGTTTAGGTAGGTGTAGGTCGATCGTAGGCAGATTATCTTGCGTGGTTTGATTCGATACTGACGTACTGTCTAAGAGTATGGAGGAGAAGACAGATATCGCAAGCCTCCCCGGATCATCGATCCCACCAGCGTTTTCTCATAACTTGTTCACATCAAATTGTTCATGGCAACTCGCCAGGTCAATCCTCAATTTCATGTTCTCAAGGCAAAGCAGACTCCATCGTCTCTGTCTTGATTTCATTCACACTTCATGTTTACACAAGAAGAAAGAAGAGGTTTCGGGCCGGCTTGTGATTGTAAAGGAAGATTTCTAAGAGTTCTTAATCAAGTGTCATAATCTCTAACAAAAAATTTCTTGATAAGGCCTCCTTTTCAGTGGGGACCCAATTGATGTTTCACTTCCAACAATGTGATATGTCTGTCCCGCCTTCCTTACATTACATCAATCCTTTGTCATTTTATTTATTTATTTATTTATTTTGAACAATCTTAATATGCCCGATTCAGAAGTGTGCATCAGAAAAAGGCAGGCACCACATATTAAAGACGAACTTTTCTTTTGGTTTTTAATAATCAACCAAAAAGAGGTTTCTTGGACCAAGGAGAAGAAGGAACCACTCCACATAAATGCTCCAGAACCAGTAGGTTGCTACAATAGTCACCATCTAAGACAAGAAACCTCAATAGAAAATCGAAATTAAAAAACCCACCAAGCTTTCTAAAATGCTTAATTTGCAGATGGTTGGAATTTATTTTATTTAGTCTGTCTTTGTTAACTATTTTACTCTATCCTTTCACGCTGAGTAGGCCAAGGCTGGATTCTGGAATTATTGTATACATATTTGAATGAAACCCATGTGTTAAAAAAAAAAAAAAAAAATTGCAGTAGCATGCCTAGAATGGGAGATGTTGACCAGTAACTGCAAAACATTTGGCAGATTCTACAACGGGGACCAACTTGACCTGGGACACGCTACATTATTAGCACCCAGCATCATCATCATCATCATCATCGGAAAGAAACGCAAGGCTGACAACTTCCCATTAATGGATGAGATATTTGCAGTTTGCTCGTGAACATTGAGCTGTATCAAAAGAGAGAAAAGACCAACCATGTGCAATTGAGCAGTGCACCATGGACCATTTTGGTTTTATGGTGCAAATCTGAAGAAACGGCGAGATTCCTAAGGCAAGAGATTTTTTTCAATTTTCAGTCATGCAGGGAGAGCCCTGTTGGTAGCCCAGGCTGTCCAAGTTCGACAGTCAAAATTTTCATGGAAAAGAAACCAGAAACCAATCAATCTTACAGGATTACATGTTTCATTGTGATAAAGGTGTTTTCTTCACACACTGTTTTGTCGGCGTATAAAATAGTAGATACCCTGATGCCTGTTTGGAAAGCTCATACAACATTTACTCAAGAAAAAAATAACATTTTATATATAAGCAATTCCAATGAAGAATTCACAGATCAATTTCACGAAAGACACACGTTGAAGATGCATACATGGCTACAGTTAGCACCAATCCACAAGAAATTACACAAGAAGGAAGCACCCACCCAATATTAGTCCTAGAAGAAGTTCCTGAAGAAGCAACCAACCCAGAATTAGATCTTTGTCCTTTACTTTCACACTGTAAGACAATCTCTTGGAAATTTACATACGTCAGTGCCCCCATGACCACCACAGATTTTTATGATAAAACGTCCGTATTTGATGCCACTGAGTTTTCTGACTGAACAAGGTCTCCTTGCGTTTCTGTGAATGGCTTGATGAAAGTCCGCCTCCACCAGACCTCAAAGGCCCTCTGAAGATTGGGGCAACTATCCCCTGCTTTGAGGAAACTTCCCAACCATGAAAGTAAGATACTCTGCTGGTCTTCTAGTGGCAGTGTCAGTATTGTCCGCCCCATTCCTTCCTCCACCACTTTCCTATCAAATGACCTGCAACCATGCTGTAACCAGCTGTAGTCATCAATCAATGGCTGTAACCATGTCTGTAGCAACAGCAGTCTAGTATCCTTAGATGGAAGGATCTCCCCTCTTCCAATTCCAACAAATAACCTTGCCGTGATGCAGCTAATAAGGTGGCGAGACACTGTTGGCAGCCTTGAATGCAAGGTTGCCAATTCTTGCTGGCTGGCCCATATCAATGCAAATTCATCGGCCGCTTGCCTATCAGCTAATATTTCAAGCAACCATAGAAGATTATCAGCCTCTAGAGCTATCTGCTTCACAACAGAACCTTTCCCATCCATGGATTTATCAGTAAATCCTGGATCTGCAGCTTGCCTAAAAAGAAGCAACAAAGAATCTAAGCAGTTTCGGCATGAATTATATATATTTACGTTGCAAATGTCAGCTATACCACCACTATTAACAGGAAGCTTGTTATTCTCCCTGAGGAGCCTTAATACTAAGGATTTCATCTCACGCCGACCTCTCTCCTCATTGCTTTTGAGAACAAGTTCCATTATGTGTGCTAGTGTATCATTAGGGGGGTTGGAGATATCAGAAGACACCCTTTTCAATACTGGGGTGACTTTGATACCATCACTGCAGAGTCGTAAGACTGATGAGACCACCTTTTCCTCTTCTTCTTCTCCAATCCAAGGAACAGCTTCCAAGTATTCCAAACATGACTTTACGCACATGTGGAAACCAAGGAATTCTGCAACCTGCAAAATTTATTCATGAATGGTAATCTAATGGCAAGTTTGTTAACATTTCCGATGCCTCATAAGCATCCAATTTTAGCAGTGTAGAAAAGAAACGTTGTCTGATTATACAAAAGCAAAATAAAGAAAGCTCTCCTTGGTTATTACCTACAAAGGACTAAAGAACTGGCTCATTGTGACTTCTCTCATTAATAATCCTTAAGATTGGTTAAGAGATTAGGCAATAAGCACTCAGGAAATTTCTGCAGTGCATGTGTAATCATCCATCAAAAATATTTCACTCAATCAGGGGAGGGATGCAAGACAGGTTGCCTGATTTGAAGAAATTCAATTATATTGGGCTTGGACCCATTGGCATTTTGACAAATGTCCAACCTAACCTGAACCAGGTTGCACCCGAACATTCTTAACAAGTGAGTGGATCAAGGTACAACATCATCATCATCCATGCCTTGTCCCAACCATATGCAGTTGGCTACATGAATCCTGTTTCACCACTCCGTTCTATTTAAAACCATATTCACTGTTAAACTGTTAGTGCTTAAATCATTTCTTACTACTACTTCTACCCATGTCCTTTTCGGGTACAGCTTATAAAGTTTAAAACTATAATACCTAGATAACTGTGCATTCCTGGAGTACTGGAATCCGATAAAATGCATACTATATCACACTGGATACTACATGCACACTTTCTAGACTCTAGAGTAGAGTTTATAGCATTAATACTTCTAAAATATGTCAAATGGTATATATTAACACATTACATAAAAATCAGTATGAGTTAGCAGTTTAATTAACTCTGTCAAGATATAGATATTAAGAAATGATACTTGCTTCAAATACTAGCAAGGTTTTTAAAACGGACTGGACAAGGAACCATTCTGGGGTCCGGTTCCAGGGTCGAACAGTCCGAACGGATGGCCTGCTCTGACAAAAAAATAAAAATAAAATAAAAGACAAAAAAAGGCCAAAAACCGTTTTCCAAGTCGACGGTTCGACCACCCGGGTTGGCAGTTTGCTGACCAAATCAACGGTTTTTGGCCAAAAAACGGTTTTGGGGTGAAACGGAACCAGTCACCTGACCGGTTCCCAGTTTTTCCAGTCCGACCGTCCGGTCCAGTTTTGAAAACACTGAATACTAGATATAAAATCCTGATATAATCATACTAATTGGGAACACATACCCATATCAGAATAGAGGATTCTAGAAAATGGAGATTCATATCTTGTTTCCTGTATCTGTAACCTGTCAATTTCCATATCTGGCCATCATAGGTTTAAAATTCTCAGGGGTGACCATTCAATCTTTCACAGAACTCTTGGGAGAGGTCAATTATTTTGCTCAGTTCTTGTTCATCCAAACTTGTAACATGATTCCATAACTAAATATCCCAACTTCTAGGAAAGAGCATCATCCCTCAGTATAATAAAAAAAGAACACAAAGCAAGCCCAGATGCAGAAGTGCAGAAAGGTACAGTAGCAAATGTCAGGGTGATACTGATGAGGCACTAATTACCATGATCCGGCATGTTATACAATGCATTCCGCAGGTTAACTTACCATGATCTTTTTTTTTTTCATATTTATAATCCATGCACACTTTGCACTTATAGATTTTAATTTATGTAGGTTTACTTGGTTGTTATTTTGTTAAAAATATAAATATCAAATAGATGGGTTGAACACAATAGCCCTCCATGACCTTGCACCCCATTCTAAAAGCATAAACAACTATAAAATGAAGAAGCATATCCAGGAAATGAATTTACAAACTAAAACCATCTTGTTATTAGCACAATGCTTTAGCCCAATTCCTTTGTCATCTCAGGTATTTCTCAAATTACCCTTTAGACAAAAAATATAATTATGCTTCCATTAAGAGTAACTCCTAGTTTTGTTGCTCTTCAAGCCTTGGGCAACAAGAGGGTCCACCATGTTGGGTACACTTTGCAACTGTACTGTATCCTGGTTGACATTACTTGATCTCCAGACAAAGTTCATTCGCCTTAACTAAGAAATTTTATAGGTAATTCTAATAAGTGGATCCTGTATTCTTAACTGGACAAAGTAACAGGGCTTCCAGAAAATTGTTCTGAAGTAATAATAGTGCAACTCTGCACAGTGCATGTAAGCAGGCACACGTGTGAGTATATGAGTTATGCAACTTTTGGGTGGGAAAGTTATGCCAAGTGTCATAATGATAAAAAATATTTTAATCGGAACTCACGAAAGAGCTTCACCATGACCTAAGACTCCAAAGGAACTAAAAATTATGAATGTTATCTTAATCAGAATTCTGTTAAACTTCTATTGCATTCTCTATATAAATTTATAAACTTCTACAAATACATAATCATTTTTTCTTTCTTTTCATGTTTTTAATTCCGATCATCTATAAGCATGTATGGTTACTCCATTAAGACTTCAATGCCCACAACCTGTTATGCCTAGAGACCTAGAGTTTGCCTCATCAAGCCCAACAGCCTTGATTACAAATTTATCCTTCAGAGGGATAGTTAGAAAGCTACATAATATTACCTGTATGCTATGTATGCATAAAAAGATAATTGAGGGATAGAAAGATAATTTATATTTCCATCAGGAGGGGGGGACTTTTATGGTAAAGCAGCTTCGTTTACATTCCAAATTAGCCTTGACTTTGCTTTTTAATCACTGATTAAATTCTATATCGTTGGCAGTATTCATCATTCCCCAAATAACAAAATAACATGTGTCTGATCCTTTTACTAATTCATAAGTTAATACTTCCAGGAAGGTAAAAAGCTGCTGCAGTTCTCTTAAAATGATAAGAATATTTAAGGTCCTCTAAGCATGCTTCAAAAATTTTAGTTTGGATTGATAATTCTACAGAATCATCAAATATATGATATTATGCTTCATGGGTCCCCCAGCATCATCTATCAGTCCAGAAACACCACTAAATGGTCCTGGCTCCATTTCCGTTAACCTTGATCCACTCACCATTCACTCAGGGGCTCATAGTTGTGTATAGGAAACTCATCTCTTCAAAATTCAAAAGAAAAAAAAAAAAAAAAAACTATAACTTTCCTCACCCCAATGCATACACATGTGCACAGGTGGTATTGCTGGTTAGTTTTGGAAACTTCATAGAAAGTTCGAATTGAACTATAACTTTCTTCCCCCATCCTCAACCCAATGCATACACATGTGCAGGTGGTATTGTTGGTTAGCTTTGGAAACTTCTTAGAAAGACTTGTTAGAAAAACAACCAATTTTACCTTTTCAGGCTTGAGTTTCCAGTGTAGATTTGATCAATTTAGAGAATTGATGCTTCTAATCATCTAATACACTTTTACCATATAGGAAAGAAAAATATTTCAAATTTAATAGATGTATAGATATGCACTAGCACTGTTGAGATGATGTATGATTAGAAATGAAGCCAAAGAGGGTGAAAAGATAATCATAGTTGTTCCAGTAACAGACCCATACATGTACTTCCAGAAGATATATCACATGAAATGTTGAATTTCTCTTGCAAAATCCTAATCTAACAGCTTCATACATGTTGAATTTATCTTCCAATAACTAATCTTTTTTTCTTTTATCCTTTTTGCTGATCATTAATACACAGATTTCTTCAGTATAAGAATGATAAAATGTCCTATATAAAAAGGAGTTAATAGAAGTATACTACTACAAGCAGATGCCCTTCAAGGATTTTATTAGTTTTTGTTTCCATTAAAAGATCCAGTGCACTCATTTTAACAGAACAGAAGCACTTAAAATTTCAAAAGTGAATAGTGGTGGTAACAGGTCAATCAACAATAACTTTTCCAAAATTATGGTATTTCACTTGAACTCAAAAAACAGAAGAAAGATTAAATGAACTTTGGTTATGGAAAGGAAGATAATAGCATGAAAGCTCAAATTTTTATGCAAAGATAGAAAGAGGATTCACTGAAAGGTTTGTTTGTAGAATACCTTGAGAATACGGAGTACTCGTGAAACGCTTTGCTTGATTAACCTCTGTTTCATTTCTTTGCAGTACATCAACCCCACAGTCTCCACATAGATCTCCACATCTTCACAGTCACCAAGTTCAAGGCAGGTCAAAGGAGACTCTTGTTGAGACAACTTCTCAGCAAAGAAACTGCTATTTTCCACAAGCACATTCTTGTGAACACTCATTTTCACAGAAAATCCCTGCTTCCCAGATAAAACCACCTTCAAATCACTGGTTGCAGGTTCACCAAACTCAACTGCTACCTTCCGTTGCAAATTCTCGGTATTGGGTTTTGGCACTCTCTCAATAACCACAGGTGGACTAGCAACAGCAGTATCGGAGCTTACAGTTCTTTGATCATCAGAAACTGTTTTTGATCTTGATGGAGTAGCCGATTTTCTCTCGGTAAGAGGCGTTTGTTTCTTCTGAACAGAGGTTTTGGGTGGTTGAGGGGAGGGTTTGGGTTTGTTTTGAGGATTTTGTGCTTTGAGGGTCTTCTGGAACACGACGGGAGAAGGGCAGCACCAAAAACCTTCTGGTGTTACGGCAATGGGGACGTTCCTAATCTTGGCATGACCTTGTTCAACTCTTGCAACTCTAAATTCGGCCATATTCAACAAGTGTTTATGACAGCGTAGACGACAAACAACATTAAGAATGAAATCAAGGATATCGAACCCAAAATTACTCGACTTCCCTTGTAACCATCACTTAGTTTCCTCACTATGTGTAATTTGTAAATATCAAGATTCAGAGCTCACAAGCAATGTCGTCTCCTCTCTAATCCCCAATTGGGTGCCTCACAAAATGGCAGAAACCTACAGAAACTTTAAAAGAGACCAAGTCTAAACTGGGTTGCCATTAAAAGCATAAAAGATATCAAAACCAGAAGACCCAAATCCAAAATGCACTAATATCTCTGCAACAAGAAAGCGAAGATGAAAATTATGAACTTTGCCGAAAGATAAAACAGTGCAGTTTCAAAAATTAAAAAAAAAAAAAAATCTAAAAAGTTCTACGAAACCTTTCACCCACTGTCTAAGACTGCAACTTGGACATTCAAAAAACGGTAGAGAAGGCATTCAAATTCAGAAACAACTTATTTCCTCTCTTCCCCATAATCGACTTTAATAGGGTATCTCACAAAATCTCAGGAAAAGAGAATGACAGAGAGAAGGAACCGAGACGCAGATATGTAGAACCAGTTAACTATGAAATGGGTCTTCTAAATACCCGAACCAAGGATCTGGAAACCCATAGCAACAACAGCTTAAGAAATTCCATCCATTATATTCTCCACGAGTGTCTCTAATGATTGAATCGAGCTCCGATGTCAAGCATCAAGGAAACCAAGAATGGAGATTTTACAGAGATACATTGATGAGTGCTGTTTTATTTTTTATTTTTAATTCTTGTAAAAAGCAAAATGGAGAAAAAGTAAAGGCGGGTTGTGGGGGTGGTTTTAACTTTACCAGCTTGGAATGTTTCTGCTTTATTGGGGCGAGTCTTCAAAAAAGTCCCTCGCTCCGCACAAAATTCTCCTCTCACTCATCTATCCAGTATCCACGCCCTCTCTGTCTCTCTCAGATTCCTCATTTTTCGGTTTTTCGCTATTTACAGTTTAGTTTGTTTTTTCCACCTCCCTTCCCAGCTTCAGAAGCTTCCTGTTTCATCCGTGATGCCGTGATTGGCGTCCAAGTCCAACCGAGAATAAAGTAGTTTTAGGCCGTAAGATTGGAATCTTACAGTTTACTAATGCAAGCAGAAATATACACGATTCAAATGACAAAAATACCCTCAATCTTTACCAAATTAGGTTTGAAGTTAAAAAGATGGTGGTTGGGACTTGGGATGTTCATATCATATCTTAAGAATTCAGATGTTTTTGTTTTTGGGCACATACTACAGCCCACAGGGATAACTTTGGCTGTTGGGGGCCAACCGACCAACAGCATATGCTGTTACGGTGTTACTTGTTAGAGAGCGTTTTTGGGTTTTGGTCAAAAAGAAATAAGGGCAATTACTATTTTCCTCACTCTTATGGTAATATTCCAGAAACGCTCTCAATAGTATAGCCTTATTTTTTTTGGGAGAATGACCAATCACCCTAGATCAGAATTTTATAGCCTCAAAGTACAGGGGGAATGGGGAATGGGGAATGCATCCTGACTATGAAAAGGAAGAGTCGTATAGGGCTATTCATGGTTCGGTTAACTAAATCGTCGACCTATTTTTTAAATCAAATCGGTAGTACTAGTTTTTGAATAAACAATAACCAAAACTGAATCAAAGTCAATTGGTTAACTGGCTGATTATTTCGGTTCATTGATTTTTTGGTTTTTTTATTTTTATAATATATTATAAATAAATAATAAAAATGAGAAATATATATAATATTATATTTATAAATAAATAAATAATATATTGTATATTATAAATATATTTATATATAATATATATGTATTCATTTATAATATATAAATAATGTAATATATATATAATATACATAAATATATATATACATGTATATATATATATATATATATATATATACCTGTCAGTTTTCGATTAACCATTGGTTTTTTATATTGGTTAACCGAACCAAACTAGTACCTTTGGTTTTTCAAAAATACTGAACTGATCGATTCAATTAACCGGAATTTTTAATTCAGTCTCATCGATGAGAGAGAGAGAGATATTTTATTAAAGTGATGCAGTTTTCTTTTTTTTTTTATCTTTTCACTTTTAAGTTTTTAGAAGGCTCCATTTCGTTGCACCTAAAATGAAGGAAAACAAAACAAATGATATGGTGAAATTTGCTATTTTTATGGTGTTTGGTTGTCCTTAACATAGATATGGGAAAAGATTTTAAAAAAAGTAAGTACCAATTATGGAAAAATGAGATTTTTATTTCCACTTTTTTCATAAGTCATTTTTAGAATAGTGAGGTTGGTCCTCTTGACTTATAAATTGCAACAATCAAACATTTCTTAACTATTGAGGTTTATTTTTCAAGTAATTAAGCAAGACTTTTTTTTTTTTGATAAGACCAACAGGGGCTACACAAGACGGGGGGGAGTAGCAAGGAAGATACAGAAATATTCAAGAACTCTGAATCCGATGCGAGAGCCTTGTGCGCTAACCATTCCGCTGCTTGATTTGCTTTGCAAAAGGTCTGATGGTAAGCAACGTCTCCCTACATGGGGGCTCCACCTTCTTTTTTAAACAAGAAATAATCACCTGAGTCTCCTTCGATGATGATCGGGAATTCTTTGGAATTCAAAGCCAAATTGTGGGCTTCCCACGCTTCCACTAGATGAGGAATTTCCTAATTTGTAGGCTTTATAATCCAACACTCTCTCAATATAATCTTTAGCAATGGCAGCAACCGAGCACATTTTATTCGAGTTATAAGTAGCATCAATACCCGAATTTGGAGGTATATAATATCTAACATATGATTTGTTTCCACTCTTTTGAAGTAGGATCAGTACTCTTTATTTCTTGGAGGCTTTCTTTTAAGTTAGAAAACAAGCTGAGCGCTCTTTCAAGAATAATGGGAGGGCGCTCCTCTATTATCAAAAACCTTACTGTTTCTATTTTTCTAGATTGTTCTGTAAAGATATACGATTTTTTTTTTATTCTGCATTTGATAATAATGCAAATAGAGTGTAAATACCGATTCAGGATAAATTTATACTTTCGTTCACTTTTGTCTGTATTTGACAACATTACATTTATGTTACATACCAATACATAGGTCATGATTTACCCTTCTAATTCTGCAACTTTTTGAGCAAGACATTGAAAAAGTTAGTAAAAATCAATCTTTTTGAAATCTGACCCAGATGTTAAACCATTAATCTTCTTCATCTAGGTTAAATGGGTCAATTCATAAACGTCAGAACTCTCAAGTAGTGTTGGTTTTAAAATGGAGGAACAATCAAGACATCCACACAACAACTCCAGAATTTCAAATGCTTGACAACTCATGTTGCCGAATTCCCCCCTTACTACTATATATTTTCTAGGTACAAAAATATAAGTCGGTTAGGATTGATTAAATACATTATATAGGCCATTGGGTTATGACTTATGAATGAATTAATGTAGCGTTGTTAGGTATCTCCATGAATTTATATTTATATTTCTATAGGCTTGCGTTGGCAGAAATTAATGAAACTGTATAAAATATAACCTATTATATGTAGATTAAAAAAAATAGAAAAGGAGAAAATAGAAAAATTGAAGGGGTGCAGCCCAGATTTAGGAACAAAGATGCAGCTGCGCTAGTGGAGGAGCTAAAAAGGCGCACATGGGGTGCAATAAACAAGTGATCGAATAGAATCATGCAAATGAATTGAAAGAGGGGACATTCAAACTGTTTTTTATTTTATTTGAAAAATTTGCTTCCAATAGATCAACCCTATCTTGTAGGAGTGTCAATTGGACCGGATTTGGTCCAATATAAGTCCATTGTAGATGGATCAGGTCTAATTCAATCTGATGATGAATACTTAGGACCATTGTGAACCGTTCAATCTGTTCAAATTGATTTCAACCCAAACCCAATACATTGACACTTGTATTCTTATCTTCTATCAATGAATTAGATATCAGTTCAATCCGACCCAACCCAATATAAATCCATTAAAGATGAACCATGTTTGATCCAATCTATTAAATTAAATACTTTGGACCATTAAGCTGAACTGATCCAATTCAATATCTTATTTTGATTTAAATGGATCTAACCCAAAACTGGTCCATTTCCTGTTTAGTGTTTACATATGACACAGCTAGTTGGCTGGCTAAGTCCCGCTTCCATTTTCCTCCGGATTGCACAAGGCCACAACTTCCTGGTTTAGTTTCAAAACCCCCCATCATGATACATGCACGCACTCACTGGTCACTAGTCACTACTACTTTGAAAAGAAGGCTGAGGCGTGCACCCATCTCATCATAACATAAACCTTCTTCACCTCGATCCCCTTCTCTTCAGTCTGCACTAAAACCGAGTGCTCCACCCACTGGCTATTACTTCCCCATCCATTACCAATTGAAAGGAACCCGAGAAAACTGGGCCAATTATGATATACCACGTCAGATTGATACATGGGACCCACTTCCACATGTACGTACGTAAAGAGCTGACGCAAAGATGATTCAAACCTCTTTCCCATGGTATATATGGTTATATTCAGGTAGCTATCTAGTCTTGCCGGCCTGAGGGATGGATGATCCTAAATCATTCCATCTCATAAACAGTCGACGTCGTCGAGATCAATAAGCTCATTTCAAACCCATATGTGTATGTCGGGGAGTATAGGTTTAGGGAGCATCTGCATCAGCTCACCTCGTCCTCGTGGACCTCGTCTCTCTCTCTCTGCACGGGGCACCACCGCTAATGTTATGAAGTAGCAACTAACTAGTAAAGGGAAAGCATCGAAATTCTTTTGACTTATTGCTTTTCTTTAATGATGAATGCTGGTTGCTGGGTAGTGTGAGTTGGTCCCAATAACAGGCCCTGCTAATGATACTTCCATGGAAGGCAGTAAACAACTCTGTAATCTAAATTCCATATATTTTCATGGTACGAACCAGAAAAGGAGGAGGGTGGTGCTGGAAGTTAAAAGGTAAAAAAGCAAAGCAAAGCAAAGCAGAAACAGTTGAAAGTGTCTAAAACGTGTCGTCATCGAATTGAAATGCAATTCTAAGAGGTAAGCAGTTCTTAATTTCTAGCTAGCAGTTGGCAGTGCAGCAGCCTTTGTTTTTACCGTATAGATGGATCAAAGCTAGATAGCTGAGACAAAGGCTAATATAATTTCAATTGTCACTAGCTCGATCCCACTTTGAAAGGTGTGGTGTGTCTCAATTAATGGACAGTAGTAGTCCTTTCTTCCACCTTCACCTCCACTTGGGTTTAGCGAGAGATCTTTATTCTATCCTTACGGTTAGAGGCCTGCAAAACTGCAAAGCCCAGTACCGGCCGACAGGTCTTTTTGGAATTAGGCTTTACAGTTTACACAGGACCCCCCTTGGCCCCTTTAGCTAGTTTTTACCAAAAGCACGGCATGATGGATTGATGGGATGTCTATTAGCCTTGGCCTTCTGCTCGAGTTTTAGTTCCCCCACACCCAGTGAATGCAGTCATTCAACGATGGCTGAGTCAAGATGGGTTGTCATTCAACTCTAACGGGTCCCGGTCATCAGAAAATGAGACTCACACTCGACAGTTGTAGGACCCAAAGTTCATATCATCCAAGACCCAAACAGTACATGACTACGGTGTAAATATTAAAACATGCACACATATACTAGGAAATTTCAAATGCATTAATAATATCTACAGTTTTGGGTTTGATGGTACTTTCTTTGTGAAATGTTGGGATATTGTCCATAACGATGTTTGCAATGCTATCTCAGAGATTTTCTGTTATACTTCTACCTTTATTGTTTTGATTCCGAAGAAAGAGAACCCCCAAGGTCTTTCTCTGATTTTCGGCCTATCAATTTATGTAATTTCTG